ATAACTTCCAGGCATCGATACCTTTTTTTTTTAACATTGACATGTCCTTTCGTGCATATTGCGTGGGTTGAAATATGATTATGTTCAGTGCGTGCACATTCCCATGAACAGATCAAAGACCCTGAATTCGTGCTAGTCTGTGCTCACCCCTTTCACAGGTTTTTTTTTTGTTTAATGATTACGAGACGTCATTATTCCCATTTCGAAACTAATTGTCTCGTCTAATTTGACAAAAACGACTAATTACTGTCTAGTTTAGCGATTTGAAGTTACGATCTTGATGGCGGACTTGCATGAAAATGGGAAATGGTTATCGGGAATTGACCGAGCTTCAGACGGTTTTTTTTATCAGATTGAGAGGCAAGGTTAAATTTCTGAATGGAAATTACAAAAATATAAAGTAAAATTAAAAAAATTATATTTTGATATTAGCAATTTTACTTACTACAAGTAACCACTGGTTGCAGAGGTTAAAGATGCATTTTAGGCACTTCTGCAATGATCATATAAATAGAACTTATAGGATTAGAAGGAAAATTCATTTGCACATATTTTTCTGCATACATATAAGGAAAATATAGGATTCATTTTTTTTTTAACTTCAAGTTTTCAACGGATTTAAAGCCATCATCAGGCATGCAATACATATAACAATATTAAAGTTTTTAAACAAATATAAATGACGAAAAGCATCTAAAATAACGTTACAATATTTAGGAAGATGGGTAATCTTTAGTTCTTTAGAATACATTAAACTTTTCATACTCATATTCAACATAAAAATAAAACAACTATTATTTTTTCGTTTTATTTGCTTTCTGTGTAATCGAAAGCACACCTGGTGATGTTTTTTATTTTCTTACAAAGCTGGCGTTTTTTAAAATAATTGCCTTGCAAAAAAAAATACAGTTAGAACACTGTTCCTTCCGTTTGCTAATGAGTACCTACTTTAATTTGAACCCTGCAAATTAGAACAAAGTTTGACAGTTGATCTAAATAAATCATGCGATGAACAACCGTTCTACAAGTAAAATAAACGGAAACATCACATTTTGTACAAGGTGAACTTACTATTAGCAAATAGGTAAAAGAAATTCACTTTTCAAAAATAAACTTTATTCCTAATCATTCCTAATAATAATTTATTTACGTTTTAATTTCTCATCTCACACTTGTTTTTTCTTCTGATGATGGTTTTATCTAACAGAAACAAGTTGCTCTTTATTGGGAAAGGAACTGGATGACCTTCTTGTTCTAAATAAAAAAGCCAATTTCCTATGTTGTGGTAAATAATAGAAATTTTTATAATCCAATTTTCGCAATAAAATTTATGTCGTGCCCTTAATAGAGAAAAGTTGACCTTGAAAGGGTAACACCAACGGCGAATAAATACAGCTAGCCGCAATGCCCCTAGCCGCAACGTGGTTGGCATTGACGTATGGTGTAATGCAGAGCAAAGGAGTGGTAAGTAATTTATGTGTGACATAAAATAACACTCAGATTTCCATTTTAATCCGCACGGACACCACCGGAGCGGTTTCCTCGCGATTTTTGCATGCAATCTAAATTCTTCCAAGTTCCAAGATACGAACTGGACGAAAAAAACGGTATCATAGATTTAAGCAAGCAGAAATTTCATTACGTACCTATAAAAGGTTTGGATTGCATGTTCACGAAAATAAACACGAATAATAAGGTTGTTAAAAGTCATATCAAGGAAAATGGCAATTTTTTTTGCTTAAATAAAATTTTTGCGACTTTTCTTGGACCTTAAGAACATAACATGCGATTTTTCGTTTCTGATTTCTCATTCATTACAAAAGTACAATTTGGTTCTTGTAATTTGGATAAGCAAAATGCGTAAAGAGATTTAATTCTTGTATATTAGGTTTATCCTACTTTCAAAAAGTCACGAGACACTATATAATAAGAAACTTAAAGTTTGAGCTACATCAGATAAGTGTGAGGTCTATCTTAAATGCGAATCTATTTTTATCCCAAGGTATATTATTTCGTATTTTAAAGAAATATCAGTAAACATACTGTTGAAAAGAAAATTGTTCCCATTACAGTACATTGAGAAACTCCAAACGATATACCTTTTTCTTCACTGAATTCTCCATTCAAAAACAAAAAATGTATAAGGGAGCCTCCAAATCCCTGCATCATCTAAGACAGTGACGGAGAGCCCTAAACACATTTCGGAAAGAAGTCCTCCTTGCTGTCGTTTCTTGCCAGATCCCACCCATTTCTTTGCGGAGCCCCTATAAACAACAATTCTTAAAATAATATACGTATCCCTTCCTCTTCCTGACTTCTAAAAAAACAAAAAAAAAGTCGTCAAACCAAATTTGTAAACTGTTTCCCCTATCTGGCTTCTAAAAAAAGTCCTCAAAACCAAAATCGTCTACTCTTTCTCCTGTCTGGCTTCTAAAAAAAAATCCTCCAGCCCAAAATATCAAAATCGTTTTCCTCTACCTGACTTCTAAAAAAAAAGTCCTCCAACACAAAATACCGAAATACATTTTTGATAATTTCCACACATTAGAAAATACAATCTTTTGAACATTATAACAAGTGAATTAGCGTAATCTCCAAAAAGAAATATAAAACGAAAACAGTCTCTATATTTTTATCAATTTCTGTAATTTGAAGTTTATATGAAATTTAAAAAAACAAATTACTTACGGAAAAGATATGTTGTATTTACCTCTATAAAATTTTGCGTACTTAAAATTGCAGATGTACTTCAACACCTTGATTGAAGAAAACAATTATCAGGAAAATCAAATGACGAGACGATGGACACGCAGTTGCCCTCTTCCATTATTCGATTTACGTGATCCATTAGGCTGAGACAAAGGAAAAAGCGTCGATTTGCGGCCACCGATGGCACTCGGTTTCACCAAGAAAATGTTGGCGGTTTCATGGACCGATAGCGACAAATTTGGCGGCGGGTGCCACAACAATGCCTTCAGCGTTTTAATTATTTCTAGAAGGTGCATCTGCTCCTACCTACCACGAATTGATTTTTAATTTGTTTTAGAAATTCTTGAAGGTCAATTTTCTAGAGACCATTAAGCAAGTCTGTTTTATTTGACTATTAATTAACGTTCTGCATTTTATTCAGAATAATTAATTATATAAAAATGTACTAATGTCAAGAGTCACTCTTTGCTGTAAATTTCTGGATAGATTCAATTTTTAATTTATTTCTTAAGTAGATATCTATCTATTCTTCTTTAATATAGAATATATTCTGTGCTTTTCTACACTAATAAACCTAATACTATAAAAAAATGAAAATACAGTAGAATTATTAAACCTAAAACTGGCGATTAATGCAGTGCAGAAACAAAAAATGAGGCGTAAGAACAAAAAATTAGTCCAGCTGAGATTTCTGCTTCGATATTGAAGGTTAAGGAGGTCTCTCTTTAAATTAGAGAACAAAAACTAAAGATGAGACGGGGTATGGGTGTGGAATTACTATTAGCAATAAAGTAAACCCAAAAATTAAAATAATAAATGTTAAAGAAGAGCCAAAATTTGCCGAAAAATTTAAAAGCAGTATAAAACAACTTATAAAAATAGCAGTTTTAATATTATATTAGAAGTGATTTTTTTAAATTGCACCCTTAATTGCACCCCCTCAGACGACTCAAGAAACTCCAGCATGGTATCAGGGATGAAGAAAAGAGCAAACTACATAACATATCCCAAGCACGTTGTCACTACATTAAATCTATAGGCTGCCTGACGCGCTAAGAGAGACTTATCAATACCGGAGGATGCACAATGGGTCTAGTGAGACCTAAGTGATGTGAAGAATCATCATCAGTAACCCCAAAACAATGCCACTGACGTATTTGACAGAACTGTTAATTAAGTTATCATGAATCATTAAAAAAGGCTATTAGAGATCATCCAAAAGATCTTTACAGTAATCAATTTTTAAATAAATTACTTAAATCAATTAATTTGTATTAAATGTTTGTGTGTATTGGGTACCTATTATAAAATAGAACTTTTAAATAAATAATACACATGTGCCACAAGTGGATCTGGCAATATGACGACAGACGGTACAGTAGACACAACCAAATTGGCCATTTCTGTATATTTTTTATATTATTAAAACTATATTTATCTTTAAAATCAAAATTTAAGTTCTATATTTAGGCAGTCTGGTATCTAATTATTATTTATTTGATTATTAATGTAGGTACTGATAAATATTATTATTGTTTATACCTGCCGGTAAATAAATGTAAAAGGTACACCAAGTTGAATAAATAAAATATAACTAAAATTACTTTAAATACAGTAATTTACGTATAACTATGAACAATATTAAACTCACCTTACTTATTTTCGAAAGTTTTAGTTGCATTGGAACTTTTCAAATTCAGTCCACACATCACAAAAGTTTTAAACCCCGTCAAATTCGAATCACTTACCGCCACGATAATATTTGTAAACTTATTTAAATGCCGTACGAAAAATTTTTTCATTCATCAAACGTTAATATAATACAAATAAATTTGAATTATTTAAAAATTCTTCAAAATGACAGAAAGAGTTCATAACCTCACTATACAACAAATTTTTTTCATTTGAATTTGCGTTTGGATTTTAACAGATGCTGCCACCTATTATTATTTATTTCAATTTAATCACAGAATACTTTTTTCCTTTGAATTTGCATTTGATTTTAACAGATGCTGCCACCTATTATTAGTTATTTCAATTTAACCACAGAATACTTCTTTTTCATTGTTTGACAGTTACACTCGTGTTACACTGCTTTTAAATTTGATTCTGAATTATATTTCGTATTTATTAAAATTATTAATGAAATAAATAAATTGGTAGTTTTTATGTGCTAGAAAGGCTGTATAGAGGAAGAAACAAATGTTTATCGTTTTTATTCACGAAAAAAAAGTTGAAAAAGTTATTTGACAAGACGGCAACAACCGAAGTAACCGAAATAGTCGAACTTCGAAATAATTAGCACGTGTTGTGCTGGGCTGTCAATTGTCATTTTCAATTTATTTTTAGGTTATGATATTTTGCACTGACGTTTTGATGATTTCACCTTTGTAATTATCTAATATCTGTTAATATTGTAGTATATTTAATATTTTTAGCGGTTTTTATTAATTGTTTATTCATTATGGAAGTGGATTCTACCGAAAATGAAAGCTTTACAGTTGTTAAAACTGAGGACGAGGAGAAAATAAAACCGTCTTTAAGTGGCGAGGTATTATTTCCTACTGAATCGAGATTTGCTGGTATCAGAAATAAAGAAGTGCGAGCTCAACAGTATCAGAAATTAAAACGTGAGAGAAAAAAGGTAATTTTTTGTTATTTTATTTAATGAAACTCCGGGAAACTACAGTTAACTACACATTACTTAGTCTATGCTTTTCTTTCATCCATGTTCTCTAACTAGGCAAAAAAGGAAGCAAAGAAAACAAGAGAAAAAGAAGGTATACCTAAAAAGACACCCCATACTATTGACAGTCTCAGAGAAAAGGATGAAACTACCATAACAGATTTAAATGCTGAAGAAAATGAGCTAATTCGTGATGATTTGGAACAAGATGAGTTTAGTGATTATTTCAAACAATCTTATGATCCTAAAGTATTGATTACCTATTCTGATAATCCAATGAAGGTATAGTATTTTTTATTTTCTATACAATTTAAACTATCAAAGTAAATACTGCCTTATTTTTTTATAACAATATATTTTCTTTATTTGCACATACCATACATTTGCTTACATGAGTTTTAGCTTGAGGTTGATCTTATGATTAATTTTTATAGTTCACTGATCAGATATGCATGTTTCACAAAGTTTTAATTGTGTTTTTATGTCATTTTTATATCTCTCTTCTAATATACAAAAAATTATCTATTTCCATTTTTATTAAAACCTTTATATTTATAAAAATAATTCCTTTATATAAAACCTAGTAAATACATAATAAAAGTGAACCTATCATCTACATTTTTATGAAAAATATATTAAAAACTTTTACTAACAAATCTCTCAAAGATACATATTTTAGTGCAATACACAAAATATTTGGTTGATGTTTTAGAAAACTAGAATTTTTGGAAGAGAACTCACCAGAATTATTCCTAATTCAGTGTCCTTATACAGAAACAGGTCAGGTGTTAAAAAAATTGTAAGAAGTGCTATTAAGAAAGGATACACTGATGTGTTAGTTGTGAATGAACACCGTAAAGAACCAGATGGACTTTTAGTAATACATTTACCTGATGGTCCCACAGCTCATTTTAGAGTCAGTAATGTGAAAATAACTACTGAACTTAGAAAAAATCATAGAGATATAACTGCTCATAGACCTGAAGTTGTTTTGAACAATTTTTCAACCAGGTTGGGTCTTACAGTGGGAAGAATGCTTGGAGCACTGTTTCATTATGATCCAGAGTTTCAAGGACAGAGAGCTGTTACTTTTCATAATCAAAGAGACTATATTTTTTTCAGACACTACAGGTTGGTTAAAAATTATAAAAGAGTGCAATTTATTATTTTTTGTTCATTATTTTCAGATATGGTTTTGATGCGAATGGTAAAAAGTGTAGGCTCAAGGAACTTGGTCCAAGATTTACTCTAAGATTGAAATCATTGCAAAAAGGAACATTTGACAGCAAATATGGTCAGTATGAATGGATAATTGATGGGAGGCGTCATTCTATGGAAACCAGCAGAAGGAAATTCAATTTGTAAATTTGTTATATTAAATGTTGATTGCAATAGAATTTATTGCCAAACTGTAAATTAATTATTGAATAATAAAGAATAAAAGAATTTGAGTTTGCTTAATGTTTCTATGAGGGGAGATGATAAAACGAGCAAAAATTAAAATTGTTTTTTTTTTTTATAAAAATGAAGGGATCAAAAAAAATCTCGATTTTTCTAGTGGCTGTATCTTTGATAAAAATGGTCGTACGTGAATGAAAAAACAAGCATTTTGAAGCTTGAAGTGTTTAGTTTATGGATCTTGCGATCAAAAAATTTTCCAACCAACAATTAGCGCAAAATCCTGATGAATATCGTGGATAGAAAAACGCGATCCTTCAATTTCTTCAAAAATTCACTCCAATGAAACGGTTTGATGGATCAGGTTGAAATTTTGTAGGGCTTTCGGGGGAACAATGGCTTGTAAGATGCACACTCAACATTATTCATTTTCCCAACATTCTCAATGTGGCACGTGATTTTCTAAAAAACCTCAAAAAGATCTGTTTTCCGAAATGTTTGAAAGTCATGCTAGGAATAAAAAAAAAATTTCTCATGAAATAACATGTCAGAAACTTGTAGAGAATGAATCGAAGTTTCCGATACTCCCCTTCCATTTTCTGAGCGGCCATTGGTTCTTGAGATATTGATGAGAGAAGAGAAAATGACGCATTTTCGTTCATTTTCTGATAACTCAGCAAGGAAGGGTCATCTCGAGGCAATTAAAAAAAGGAATTGAAGCTAACTGAACTACTTATCCAATGCATATAGTGGTTGTGTCGAGAAAAAGTCCGTACACAAAAAATTAAAAAAAAAAAATTTCTATCCATGATATTCATCAGGATTTTGTGCTAATTGTTGGTTGGAATTTTTTTTATGCAAAATCCATAAACTAGACACTTCAAGCTTTAAATTGCCTTTTTTTTTCATTCACGTACGACCATTTTTACCAAAGATACAGCCACTCGAAAAATCGCAAAAATCGAGATTTTTTTTTTTGATTCCTTAATTTTTTTTTTTCACTAGTGTAAAAGTTCTAATTTTTGTATTCATTGCGTGCGTGACAGTAGCACCAATGTCTTAATGGACTATTTTTTGCGTATACTCACAATACAATTTTTAACAGAATTCGTAATTAAAAAGTATATGGATTTGTAAAACAATTTAATTTATTATTATTATATATTTTTATCGCTTAAACTAAAAAAAAAAAAAAAACTATGAATATTAAAATATAGGCAGGCAACAGTATTTACAGGAAAATGTATGAGAAGTTGCCTAAGTTTAATAAGTTCGATACTTCGATGTTCGCTTATAAATGGATGAGCAATCTATAGAACTATCAAAGAAGTAGAGAGGGTAGAACGATAAGGTACCGTCTGCGCATCCATCACGAGTGTAGAAATTATGCGTGATTCAGCCTTCCACTCTTACACACGTAAATGACAAAGAGAGGTTGCCCTAAAGCACTGTAAACAAATTCCAGGATCGACTTTATTCAGCGATTATGTTCATGTTCAGCTCTGTTTTTTGTTTGTGTTTTGGCTGTTGTAAGCTTTTTTGGCGTCAATTCTTTGTTATCTTGCTTATATTTATGATTTTTTATGCTTTTATTCCGATTTAGTATTAAATTATACTTGTTAATTATTTTTCGATGCACTATTTTATAATTGTTGCACAAAATGTCGTTAAACCGTCCCTGAATTTTGTGTACAAAATGTGCAAAACGAAATTGTGCATAGTGTCCAGACTTTTTCATTGACAGTTATCATTCTACCCCTCTCCACTTCAATGAGCAGCAGCCGCCATTAAAAGTAGCGCATTTTATTTACGTCAGATCGGTGATCACTGATCTGTCTTACGCACTTACGTCCACGGTTTGCTTGGTGACTAGTAGGGTTATATTAGCATATTAGCAATTGAAAAATAAACAAACAAATCTTCAACCAGAGACATTCAACTCAAAAGTAAAATGAATAAACCAAAATCAAATGTCACTTTTAAACATGGTTCATCCGTGCATAAAGAATTAGGCAGGACTCAGACAGCTCGTTCACGTCGACCGTCCGCGATCGTCCAAAATTTCAAACATGCGTAAGCTTATGGCAAACCTCACACTAAGCCGATCGAGCGCCACCGTCATCAACCGTCCTCGACCAAGCAATTTCACTTTTCGAGTTTGTTTGAAATTTGGTTGATCGCTCGATTGTGGACGATCAAAAGTTAGGTTATAAAGAATTTAAATACGTTATAAAATAGATATATGTTAAAAAATGGCCGAAGGTTAATATTTATATTATTATTATGATCTATTTTGAATAACTGTATATAAATATATATCAGAAAACTCATATTTTTTTTTAATATAAATGTCTATTGATTTAATATTAATTAACAAATATTTAATTGAAGCATCAACTGTTAATTTCCATTACAAGCAATAATTAAAATTTTAAAATAGAGAACCATTTTTGTTTTGGTCGGATCAAATCGATCGACGCTGTGTGAATTCACTCTTTTAAAACGGTCGAGGAGTCATGTGATTGTCCTTGGTTGACCGTGCTTGATCGTGGACGACCTATTCTGTCTGAGTTCTGCCTAAAGATCGATCAGGTAGCGTAGTGATCGCTACTTTTGTAGCGCTCCTTGAAATGGCGCGGATGAACGCAGCCATTGAGAACTATATATCATTGGTGAAAAGTGACAAATGACTGACAGTGACATCTTTTAGTTTGTTGTGTATTTGTATCGTCTCTTTTACCGATTTTTTAAAATAAAGAAAAATAATTAAAACCTCCATGAAATAATAGTAACAAACTATAAAATGAATTTAGAATTACTAGGTTTGTACTTAATTTTAATATATTTTTCATTCATTATTTTATTGTAATAAATTTTATTTTCTAGAATCATTTGGACAAAATTACCCAGAGGTAAACTCGTAATTTTTTTGTGATAATAATATATTTTTATAGCTTGTTTTCAGGAGTTTGATGGAACTTTAGACTCTCTTTCTATAGCTGTTACATGCCAGTTTAATAAACGAGGTACTCTCTTAGCTGTTGGCTGTAATGACGGACGAATAGTTATATGGGATTTTTTAACAAGAGGCATTGCTAAAATAATATCTGCCCATGTTCACCCAGTATGCAGCATAAGGTAAACATTTATTTATTACTAGTGTAGTGTATACATCAAATGTTATGTTAAACATGTAAAGAAATATTGATAATCGACTACTAATAATATGGTTGATAAGTTAGGTTGTTATAATGGTATTTAAATTTATTATACTGCCCAAGGGCTTATAAAGTTTATTTAGAATACGTACTATAGTTTCAGTTCGAATTTTATGTAAAATAAATTGAATATAAAAGGTTTTAATGATCTTAAACTATTTATAGGAAGATCACAAAAGGTAAACGCATAGCATTTTATTTGCTATAGATGCAGAGGTTATATTGGGAATTTCTCAAAGCTTACATTACAATATGTTGTTAATTTAATCATTTATGAAGCTATAAAGCATTAAATTTTGTATATATTGCTGTTTGCTCATATATATTAAATTATACAAGCTTATTAGAAATATTCAAGGTAAAATATGTTTTATAGAAATCTTTATAAATTCCATTTCATTAAGTTTTATAGCTTTGTTTTATAAATCTTAAAGTAAAATCTAAATTTTGTTATAGTTAAGAGGTTTTGTGTCAATATCAATCCCACAAACTGGTGTATCTCAAAAAAATGCAGTTTTTGAGATAGAATTGTAGAATATAAACACTTTTATAGATCTTCCTTCTCATAAAGTGGCATAACTCAAGCTGTAAAAATTATGTAGTAATAGAAGTACAAAACTTTAAATTGCTGTCCTGTAAAATTAGGAAAAAGTAGATAGGTCACTTTGTGAGATTGACATCGATATATTTGCTAATATCTTTTTCTTTTCCAAAGAAAGATGTTTCTTCATTTTATCTTGAATGCTTATCTAATATAAGAATTTATGTCCCACATTTGATGGTTTTTGATAGGTTTCTTTTAACAGATTAGGCACTATTTTCTAGTATTTATTTTATATATTGTATTACATCAGAATGATGTGTTTGTTAATGTTACAGTTGGTCTAGAAATGGATATAAAATTGCCTCTGCCTCAACTGACAATACAGTTTGTATATGGAATATTTTATCAGGTGAATGTGAGCAAAAATATAGGTTTCCATGTCCTGTTTTAAAAGTTCAGTTTCAACCAAGAAGTTTAGAAAAGTTACTGGTTTGTCCCATGAAACACCCTGCTGTGTTGGTCGATACAAATGGGGTTCACAAAGTTTTACCCATAGATGATGATGTAAGTTATCAATTTTACTACAAATGGGTGCATGGGTGATATTATAAAACACATTATCTTAATCTAGTATTATTTTCTACTAATTATGAAAATGAAAAGTATGTTATTAGTTACTACATTTCCTGGCACAAAATTTTGACCAAGTTTGATGTTTTATTCTATTTTTATGAATTTTCTACTGCTTCAATTTTGCTACAAGTTGTTTTGAAGTTGTGACAAAAAAGAACATTTTCATATACCCCTGTATAATATTGCCTAAACGAAAAATGTTACTTATAATAATTTTAAAAAAATCACAAATTTATCTACAAACTGGTAAAAAATTCATAAAAATAGGATAAAACAAAAAATTATAAAACATCAAACTTGATCAAAATTTTAGTGTGACAAAATCAAGATTCAAAGTCTTTTTATTCTGTACACAAAAATTGTGTTGTTTTTTTACAGAAATTGTTACTTATTGCACTAATTTAAAAAATTGACAAATTTATCTACAAATTGGTAGAAAATTCATAAAAATAGGATAAAACATAAAAAAATTATAAAACATCAAACTTGGTCAAAATTTTAGTGTGGCAAAATCAAGATTGAAAGTCTTTTTATTCTGTACACAAAAATTGTGTTGTTTTTTTACAGAAATTGTTACTTATTGCACTAATTTAAAAAATTGACAAATTTATCTACAAATTGGTAGAAAATTCATAAAAATAGGATAAAACATAAAAAAATTATAAAACATCAAACTTGGTCAAAATTTTAGTGTGGCAAAATCAAGATTGAAAGTCTTTTTATTCTGTACACAAAAATTGTGTTGTTTTTTTACAGAAATTGTTACTTATTGTACTAATTTAAAAAATTGACAAATTTATCTACAAATTGGTAGAAAATTCATAAAAATAGGATAAAACATAAAAAAATTATAAATCATTAAACTTGGTCAAAATTTTAGTGTGGCAAAATCAAGATTGAAAGTCTTTTTATTCTGTACACAAAAATTGTGTTGTTTTTTACGAAAACTGTTACTTATTGCACTAATTTAAAAAAATGACAATAAATTTATCTACAAATTGGTAGAAAATTCATAAAAATAGGATAAAACATAAAAAAAATATAAATCATCAAACTTGATTAAAATTTTAGTGTGACAAAATCAAAATTGAAAATCTTTTTATTCTGTACACAAAAATTGTGTTCTTTTTTACGAAAACTGTTACTTTATTGCACTAATTTAAAAAAAATTACAAATTTATCTACAAATTGGTAGAAAATTCATAATAATAGGATAAAAATTTATAAAACATCAAATTTAGTCAAAATTTTATTGTGGCAGAATTAAGATTGAAAATCTTTTTATTCTGTACACAAAAATTGTGTTCTTTTTTGATATTTTTAGGGTGATTTAAATATAGTTGCATCCTTTGATAGAAGAGGTGAATACGTATATACCGGTAACGCCAAGGGTAAAGTGTTAGTATTGGATTCCAACACTTTAGAAATAAGAGCCAGTTTCAGAATAGTGTTAGGAACGTCAAGCGCCACTGCTGTAAGAAGCATCGAATTTGCTAGGCGCGGAGAGTAAGTTTATATAAGTGTAGGAAGTTATTTAACAATTATTAATTAAAATTATATTTGCAGTTGTTTTCTGATAAACACAGCAGACAGAGTTATAAGGGTGTATGACAGTAAAGAAGTTCTAACCTTTGGTAAAGATGGTGACCCAGAACCCATACAAAAGTTGCAAGATTTAGTTAATAAGTAAGTGAATTATTTTTTAAGATTTATTGTAGTTATTAGTCACTTATTCTTTACTAAAACTTATTAATTTAAATTTAATTTTATTTAAAATCTTAGGGTAAACCACTAAGGCCAAAATGTAACCAAAAATTATGTATAACATTTCCTATAAATTGTTTTTTTTTTATTTTGAATATTCAAATAATAATAAAGTTTATTTGCAATTTTAATTTCTTTATACAGATATAGAACATAAGAAAAAGAAAAATGTCCTAAAGAAGGCTGCAAAAAGAACTGGTGAACAGTGGAGACTGATCAAAGCATCAGTTTTTTTTTGATAACTCTTCACTTGATTTTTGGTTTAACTATTTTTTTTGCACTTTTCCCTTGTCTTTTGATCCCCAAGCTGCTGGTTTTATAATTCTGGACAATAAATTGATTTCGACCTTGATTTTTGGCGATAATTTCGGAAATTTCAACAAAATTTGTAGTAATATTGTTGATTTCATGCAAAAACTTATCAGCATTTCCCCTCGTTTAAAATTTTATTGTTGGGTTTACACTGAATTAAACGTTTTTAGAACGATGTGGAAAAAATGCTCCTTTTCCGGCGATGGTGAATACATTTGTGCCGGTTCGACCAGGCAGCACGCCCTTTACATTTGGGAAAAATCCATTGGAAATTTAGTAAAAATATTGCACGGTACTAAAGGAGAATTGCTCTTAGATGTGGCTTGGCATCCAGTTCGGCCCATTATTGCCAGTATATCATCAGGTTTGAAGAAAAAAAAAATTACTTGTATCATAAATATGTTAATAATTACTTTTTAAGGAGTTGTGAGCGTGTGGGCACAAAACCAGGTAGAAAATTGGTCCGCATTTGCTCCCGATTTTAAAGAATTGGATGAGAACGTGGAATATGAGGAAAGAGAAAGTGAATTTGATTTGACTGATGAAGATAAATCAGTGGCAAGCGGAGGGGACAACAAAGAAGAATCGGATTTAGAGGTTGGATATAATTTAGGGCCGATATTTTCGTCTCTGAGTAAAGTTACATGTAGTTTTAATTTCAATTTTATTCAGAGATGAAAAGACTAACCTTTGATCTATCAAAATACTTTACAGTTGTTTTATTTTATTTTTTATTGAATTTTAGGTTGATGTGGCTACAGTAGATCCTGTTGCAGCATTTTGTAGTTCTGATGAAGAAAATGAAAACTCCGATTGCCTTCAATTTTTACCAACAGCTCCAGAGGTAAGTAACATGGTAAAAAGTAAAAAAAATAAATAATAGTACGATAAACCCATTGGAAAAGGAAGAAAATAAAACAAAAATGAAAGAAACGGGCGATATGAGGTCGGGAAGTGGAAGGGGATGAGTTTTTAAGGAAAAAAAAAAAACGATTTATCTTGATATCCGGCAAAACTACAAATCCTATGGAAAAAAGTTAAAAGGCAAAGTTGTAGGTAATAAAAAGATCTACAACTTTTGTATTTACACTTTTTTCACATAACAAAATTTATGTGAAAAATTCAAATAACCAAGTTATTGGTCTTTTTTATTTTTATCTTTTACAAAAAATTTTTTTTTTTTCACGAACTTTAGTGAAAACTTACCCTTTTATGTCCCAAACACACTGTCATTTTTTTGATTTAAAATATTTATTTTTTACTTTATTTTGACCTAATATCGAAAAAGCGCCCTAATTTTCAATCTAAAATTCTCCCGGCGAAATATCTGCTTTTTTAAAAAAGTCGATGGGCTTTTTGTTCATTGAAATCTCTACTTTCTGGTGGAGTAAAAAAATATATATGGTAAATGTTCGCAGAAAATGCAAAGAAGGGAAAAAAACTTGAATTCGAAAATGTTTTTTTAATCATTATGTATTGTTTTGAGCTTATTATTAAAATTGATATATTAATTACTCGAAAAGCGTAAGATTCCATATTATATTGATAAAGAAAAAAATTACAAATCCAAAAAACATGTTCTAAATATTAAAGATAGGATTTAAAGAGGATTTTATCTAAAAAATGTAAACTGGAGGTCAAAAAAAATCATGATTCCTATACTTTCCTTATATCTGTATACAGATAAAAAAGTAAAAATACATGATTTGAATATATTGCTGTATTGCTTGTATTATTCAAATTAGGTATTTTTTTCATAGGGAAATACACCTACGGTTAGGTTAGATAGATCTAAATTAGGTATATTTAGATCTATCTAACCTAACCGTAGGTGTATTTCCCTATGAAAAAAATATCTAATTGAATTGCAGTCCACCATCCGACCAGATTTTACGTCTAATCGGTGTATATATACCGGGTGTTTAAATTAAAGTTTTACAATTAAATACCGGCGAAAATACGTTTTTTATAAAAAAATCTGATGTGTCCCAGATGTTCCGTATCTGTATACAGATAGTGAAGTAAAAAGTAAAATTCGGAAAGTAATTTGCAAAGTGAATATGAAAAATTAATACCCAACAAAAATAACTACATTATTTTATGAAACACAAGTATTTTACACCTGTAAATTTGCAAAGCACAAAGTGAAAAGTTGCAAAGCAGTTTTATGAAATAAGCCCCTGGTCAAATAATTCGGACTTTTTTTTGTAAACCTGTGTTATTATATATTTTTAAGATCGAAGAACCTGAGGACAACTGGACACCCATGGACAATAACCCAGTACCTATAAATGTCGGTAACGGCCCCCCTCCGGCGAAAAAGAAGAAATACAAAACGTACGACATACCGCTCGAAAATATCTCCGACGGAGGTAATAATAGTTGAATTTGGACTGTAGCTATGTTTTAGTTTTAATTTTTTATTCTTAGTTCATAGAATATTATAGTATATAATTATTATTTAGAGAGAAGTTAATTTTATGTAATAAATTTATAATGTATGTTATGAAATATTAATTTTATTACTGGATTAATTTTGTGTTTTTTGGGTTTTTGTTTTTATGCTTAGGGAATGCCTTTAAAGTAGAACCAGGGTAATACGTGCAGAAATTTATTCGAAACTAAAATCTTTTTAAGAAAATATAAATCATTACAAATTTTTAACGACTAACATTTTCTGAAGAGCTTTTAATTGAGATGAAACTTTGTGCTATTATCCAGACTATTCTCTCCTCCTCTATAATGCGAGAAACACGTTCTTTTACAGAAGTACATCCGTTATTAAGCAATAAATCTAAGGATAAACAAATGATTGGCGGTAAGAAAGGACCTGGAAGAATGAAAAAATGATCGATTTTAAATAAAATATACGAATCGTACAATTTTTTTATGATATTTTTCCTAGTCAAAAATCGGGTTGATGGAAAAAATTTCAAAACTGTGCCAAAAAGTGAGAAGCAAGAAAAAGTGTTAGAAAAATGTCGAACAGGTATAATTTTGATTAGTTATAAAGTTGGAAGTATTTCTGCCTCCTGATTGGTATTTTTAAATTAAATAAAATGTTTAAAAAAATAATCGCGATTGTATTATTACTATGTAGTAAACACTTTTTATTATATACATTTTTTTAATATTCGTAATTAAATATCTAAAAGGCTTTATGTATTTTCTTATAACCTCAATACCTAATAGGAATAATTATTTTTTAAATTAATTTAATAAAAACAAAAAACAACTCAAAAGATTTACAAAAATGTGAAAGCTATTAAAATGTAGCACTTTTTTCATATATTTTTTTTTATTTAGTTTTCTAGGAATCTTTACTATACTTTCTTAAATCGTCTGTGTGTGGGACAAAGCACTGATTTTTTTTTGTAAAACTACGAGATTGGTTTACTGTTTAACTATTTGCTACGACTAATGGGATTTCTCGTTAGAATGTGCACCGAAGTGTTAGCAATAAAAATCTGCCATTTTTGGAATATAATAAATTTGTTACTTATGAGATTTCTCAAATGACTCAAATTCAATTATATGTTATATAGACATTATGATATTGAAAAAAACACTCACCGAATAAACACCATGCTCTTTCTTTTCATCCTGCTAATGGCTGATCCATTTTACTCCAGATTTTACCCATTATTCGATCTACATTCCGACATTTTCGTACACTCAGGAAATCTTCTGTGCCCGGCGACGTCATTTCATTCCAACATCAACAATCATTCTCATTCCCTATCTCCAATACAGCCCCTAGATACTCTACAATTTATTAACATACCAAAATCAATCACTTTAGTGTCTTATTACAAAAAAAAAAACAAGAATTTAAAGTTTGTATCTGTGATTGATTCAAGTAAGTTCAATAATTATATAAGATATCACCAGGCTATATTGCAGAACAGCCTTGTCCATTTGATCCAAGAATTTACATCAGAAATTAATTATTGTAGAGCTAACACTCTTAGTATTAAATACTAAAAGATGTAACCCCTAAATAAATGATTTCAAAGGACATAAATAGCTTGAATCAAACGTCTTTATTGTCAGAGAGAAAGGGAATGACCCCAAACAAAATCGTTGATGTAAATATAAAAACATGAAGCTTTTGTAAATAACATCAACGATACCAAACACTCAAAAAACTAGCAAAAATTTAAAGTTTCCTTTCAATCATTAATCATTTTAAAAATATTTAGTTTCATACATTTTTTTTTAATTTTACGAATTCATTTAGATACTGTTTCTTATATTTTTTTTATTTAATGAAAAGTTTTTGGATATATAAGTGTTTTTTACCTATAATAAAAAAATTAAAAACTAACCTAAAGATTTACCAACATTTTTAAAATCGAGTGAAAGCCAAAAATATAATTTTAGCTAAAGAATAAAGTAACTCCAGGGCCGACAAGAGGGGGGAGTAGCCGGGACAAATTCCCGACAGCACGACGTCTTTTATTTTTTTCTAAAAGTTCGCCACAAGAGCACAAAAGAGAGGCCTTTTAAGAAATTTCACTAAAGAGAAGTTTTTGCGAAAACTTTATTTTTAGATTTTACTAAATAGGAAGACAAATTTTTGCTTGAATCCCTTTTTTTTTTGTTTTTTTTAGAAATATATTTAAAGGCCTTCATTTTTGTTATAAAAATTATCCTGACCTGGCCCTCAGTAACTCTATATTTATTTATACATTATTAGATTAATTCCCAGTTTAATTCAAAATCTAAAATGATTATAAGCATAATTTTAATGGCTATGCAAAAAAACCTCACTTTTGTAAATTCTCTCTACGAAAAAACATTTTTTAAATAGATCCTCACCTAATTTTATTACCCATGCTGCCTTCCTAGCAAGAAAGGTTCTATCTGAATATTTGTTGTTTGGAAATAATCGATTTTTTTAACTATTTGTTGTCTTCTAAACCTTTTTTGTGAAACTCTTTTACGTTTTAGTACCTTTACGAGGCAAATAAGACATTTCATTTTGGTATCAACAAAGAAAAATGTAGGCAAATGCAAAGAGATCGAAAAAATTGCTAATTTTGTGGATAGGACATTTCTTGTTAGAACAGCAGCACATAAATTTGCGCCTCCCTCGTATCTAATTAAAGACACTGGTGCAAAAAGGGGGTAGCTCCGTTTTTATTAATTTTTCAAGAGAATATAAAAACAATTTAAATGTAAGAATATGTTTTTGTAAACATCAGGATGTAGTTTAGTAAAAAACACAAAATAATGGGTCAAAATTTCACATTTTTTAATAATTACAGTACAGCATTTAAAACTAAGTTGAGGAGCTGTATTTTTTGCACGGAACTGGAGTAGAGGACAAAAATATATTCTGTATAACTCCTGTATAAATCAACAGAGCTGCCTCGTTCTTGCACCAATTAAAAGAGCGTCCTTTTATTAGTATATTTATCTATAAGAAAAAGAATACTATAAAAATGGAGCTGCCTCCTTTTTACACCAGTATCTTCAATTATAAAATAGTATTCATGTGGTTAGATAGTTTTTATACCCATATTAATTACTCGTTAAATATTTAGATATACCAATTTAAAATTTGCAATTACTACTTATTTATTTCAATGCATTCACACTCCTACCTTTACCCGAAAAATCTACGACGTTATCAAACCGAAATACAAGCTGAAAAAGAAAAAAATATACCACAATAATTTATTCTAGTCAAAAGTCATCAACAAAAAATATATTTAGCTGTTTTATAAAGATTGTAGGGTAATGCGTAGTATTTTGTCAATATTTTTTGTTCTTAGGATCGTTTTGGTAAACAAACCTTTCATTTTAAATATACTTGATTATAAAAATGATTGTGTTTAACTAAGGAAACTGCAAAAATGTACCTAAGGTGCTGTAGATAGGTAAGTACTTGGTGCCTAAGCATAAACTTGCTCAAACGTAAATTGAAAAATGCACTATTTTTTTTTTAATTTATATAATACCTATTCCTACAATTTCTCCAAAATAAAACGTGATTTAATATTGGTTATTAGTTTATTAAATGATTGCATCATCTAAAATTGGCAGTATTCAACTAGCTATGACATGTCTACCTAAGTATGTAGATATATAGGAAGTATAACAACAAACCCCCCATATTATATAGTTGAATTATTGATAAAATTTATTTTACTCATGTTGAAATGCATAAATACACTTACCGAATATTATTTTCTTTGATATATTTCACAACACTAGCAACACATATCACTAATCACTTCTTGTTAGAGACCATCTTTAAATTTTAAAACAATTGAAAAAAATGACGCTACAACGGCGTTTTCTGATTGGCTTAATTTGGAGTGTATGCGCATTTGACACCAAAGCCGCCTAGATAAAAACAGCGTTTCGTTTTGGAATCTTCTGCGTGGTTCTGGCTACGTTGCCGTAGTGAGCGAAATTTCCATTTCCTGCTGATTTTTAGAAATTCTAATTAAGTTTACTTATATAGGTAGATTATTACTACAAAAATTGCGATAGGTCCTCATTTCGATTGAAAAGACGTTAAATGTGGGTGAATTATTAATCACTGAAGGATTCTTGAATCAAAATATATGACAAATTTTTCTAAAACAGATTATTGTTTGAAGTTTTACCATTAATCATTTTTGATAACCTTTTAAGATTATGAAGTTCTCTAAGTATTTTCCTCTTTAATAACCTATTTAAATTTTTATTAAGAACAAAAATACATTATAATTTTCACTTAACTACAAAAATCCTCATAATATTAAAAACGAGGAAACAACAGATTAGACTTAGGCCTCAATAGACCCATTGTGCATCCTCCTAAAGCGGCCCACAAACGATCAATATTATTGCGCAAAATATTGCACCATAACCCAGACAGCACACCAAATCCTTTGGATATCTACTGAACATCGCAATATCCACATAAGATGTAATTTATAGACATGCAAATGTCCATAAATAATAGTAATTATATAGCAAATTATTTAAAAAATACGCCATTGTGCCTAATAGTACCGTTCAGATATTTAAAATTAATTTTTTTAAGGTGTATCCAATATCCCATGGACATCCACTAAATAACCAAAGTCTAGGCGCGAACGCAAACCATCGTGGATTTCCACTAGATGTAATTTTTGATTTTGCTTACTAAGTATAGATGGCGATACCACTTTCGCATCTACTCATGCTTAACCCGCTGTAATTGAGTTCGATCGAAATTTGTTTCCCAATCAGACTCCATTAGAGACTGGAGTCGAGAATTTCCATTTATTGCTGAAGAGTCCTAATAAGGATAACTTTAGTTACTTTTATGAACCTCTACTAAAGATACCCATAAAATATTTTGCTGAATATCCGAATTCTTCTATATCCTGGGATATAGACGGACATTTGGTTGGATATCCACAAAATATATTCTGTGGATATCTCTAGGATTTCTCGTATTGCCTGGAAGATACCCATTAGATATTTTGCTGGATAATCCATAGGATATCTTCTATATTCTGGATATAGACGGACATTTGGATATCCATATTAAATCCACGGAATATTTCTGATATCCTTTGGAACATGAAATCTTCCCCGTCAAGAGTAACCCAAAGAAATTCACTTTGCAAAATATGCTCAGTTGTAAGGGGTGAATTCCCAGGGGTTCTATCACTATCACAAATTAACGCCTTGAAATAGGAAAGATGTTTAAAATAAAACACTAAACATATAACAACTATATTTAAAGGAAAAGTATTGATAAAAAGATCAAACTGTTAAAATAATACACCGAGCGAACTCCTCATGTTTCGATTCCTGTTAGGTTAACTCCTCGACGTTTTCCCGCTAGTCCAAAAACCCTGCTATGATGTAGAGTTGGTTGCATAATTAGTAGTACGCTACAGAGTGTTACAACACATTATGACACTAGCAGATACTTGACTTCTTTTGTAAAGTACTAAATAAAAACTGTAGAGTTGCCAGAGAACTTTTAAGTTATCCTGACAACATTACAGAAAACAAATACTCTACTATGACTAGAAAGAATTTGTGTCTGGTCACAGGCATACGGACTGGTAATTGCAAAGTACGGAAGC